AGCGCTGTCCGGCGCTGTTCGGCACTATTTGGCGCTGTTCGGCGCTGTCCGGCGCTGTTCGGCGCGGCTCCACGGCCGCACGACCAAACATGCACGTGCTGACCAGGACTCGGCCGCGGTCGCGGTGAGTCAGCCCCTGACTGCGCCCTCGTAGAAAGGAATGCCAAGAGCGCTGAAGGGTGAAGGCCCGACTGGACGTGCCTGGGATGGTCGGTCGTGTACGGATGTGCCCGGGATGGTACGGCCGTGCACGGACGTGCCCGGGATGGTACGGCCGCGCACGGATGTGCTCGGGATGGTACGGCCGTGCACGGATGTGCCTGGGATGGTCGGTCGTGTACGGATGTGCCCGGGATGGTCGGTCGTGTACGGATGTGCCCGGGATGGTACGGCCGTGCACGGGACCAGTCCCAGGTCCCAGAGCGTGTCCCCGGCCCCGCTGTCCCACGCCTTCCAGCGTAGACAGACGTCGAAATGGTGCGGTGTACGGCAGAGTGCTGACAATGTCCATCAAGCACACCTTATTTGCTATTGTTATATCGGTTTGAGCTCCAACCACATGCCGAAGCAGCCAGGACAACAAACACACATCAAAGTGCATCGTTCAATTTCCTTTGTTGATGACCTGCAAGCATCATGGTACCCGTGGCTCTCGAAGAGCAAGAGCTGGACGCAGACGTTGCGGCTATGGAGTGTCTTCCGTGCTCCGGCAGGGTCCGGTCCGGCCGCTCCCGGGGTAGTATGCCGGCGCCAACGGACCTGGCTCAAACACTGGAAAGGCTCACGGCCGAAAGGCCCTAACCCTGGGCTCTTCCCATTGTCACCCCAATACGGCCCGCTGGCTATCCCGCCCAAAGACCCACAGGGACGCCGTGCAGCACCAGACGCGGGCTCTCCGAGATTTCGACGTCGCTTGGTATTAAAGCAAGTAAATGACAGCCACACAATAAAAAAACGGTTTTTACTACGGCCGTGGAAATGCCCTGCCTGGTAACGTGGTCATGTCAGCCGGTCAGGCAGCCGGCCAGTGAATCTCCGCCTATGTTGGAGGTGCACCAACACGCCTGCGCGCCAGTCGTCGACGGGTGTAACATGGTGACCTTGGTCGACAAGCGCACCGACACGTGCTCCAGCGAAGGCTCACGCGATTGTCAAACACAGAGAGAATGTAAGCCGCAGTTAAGGGCTTCTAATTAACCTTTCAAGAGTACCTAAGGATTAACGCTGACGCTCCGAGGAATATACGAATCCACTGATGCACGATTAATTCGGTCTCAATACCCAAGACTACGCTTCAAATCGGTGCAAATAGCCGCCTGTCAGTCAGCCGGGTACGCAATATTTTGACCGTTCGCTTCTTGGCTTGCCCACAGCCTTCGAAGCAGCTGAATGTACTTGAATGTCGGAACCGTGCTAGCGCCCAATCGACTGTGATCACAAGAGCCACCACTTGCTCGAAACCAAGGCCCCAACTCGACAACGATAAGTCACTTTCGCTTGCTGTCTGTGGTCTCCACCGATCTGTCCCACCGGTCAGCTGCTCGTTCAACCCGAACTCGACATCGCCGCCGCAGCGTCGGCCGCGGTCCGAGGACTTGTCCGGCGCAGCGCTGGCGCTCATCGCTACAAAACAAAGAGCGCCGACGCCCAGCAAACGAGGAGACCTACGCCGTCATGGATCTGCAGGAGTGCCTCCAATCTCCCACAGTCGCCGGCGCCGTTGCACGGCTGACCACAGAGCCTCGTGCGCCAGACAAAAACCTGTGAAGGTCGCTGCCGGAGCGCCGGGGCCACCACAGGCAACCGCCGCCCCAAATGCCACACCGCACGGCGGCCGGCCGGCGGGCCGGGCTGGGCCGGACCGGGCCGGGCCGGGCCGGCCGGGGGCGGCGCCCCTACAGACCGCCGCCCCGACACCAGCAGACGCGACGCAGCGCTCCCACAGCCCGCCTCACCCGATCGGAACTGGAGCGTCACACTTCCCAGGGGGTCCGCCGCGTCGTGAGAGGCTGTTCAGCCTGTCGTCGCGCCGACACAAGGCGCCCTGCGAAACGGTGCCAAGTCCGGCCGATCGCGGCGCGGGTCCGGTCGCGGAGAGCGGCGCAGCCCGCGCGGAGCGAGGTCTGCAGTTGTCGTCAGCCCGGCGGGTCATTCGGCTCACATGCGTCGCTGCTATGTGAGATCCAGGCTTCAGTTTTCATCGCTGAGGCCGGAGATTACCCTGAGCGCGCCCAGTGTCAGATTATTCGGGCAGTTATCCGGAAGTACTCGCATTCCCACCACCGGCGATTTCGGCGCGGCTATTCGCGCAGGCAGACATCTGACAGCTGACGGGCGAAAGCGCACGGAGTCCACTCTTCCGGATCACGACCATTGGTGATGAGATGGCCAGGAGCATAGCCTGCCTCAGACCACCCGCGAGGTGCATCCGGTCATGCCCCTCACAGCTGAGAGAGCCTATACGACACGAGGGGTGGGATTTTCGCTGCGCTGACCGGCCGCCGGTCCCGCTCTCTCCAGGGGCAAGTCTCGTCCGCGATGGACGCGGCAGCGACTCTCCCGTGTCCACCGCCGGCGGACGGTGCCTCCCGTCGGCGATACGCGAGCCGCCGGTCCATGGACAGGGGTCGACCGGGTCGCCGGCGAGCCCGACGAGCCAGACCGCCCCAGAACGGCCGCGCCGCCAAACACAGGGCTGCCGGTCCGACAGGCTTGGCGACAAGAAGCGGACAAAGACGAATGGGCTGCGACGCCGGGCTTGGAAATGACCGGCATGAAAACGCGAGCGTGGGATCGCATTCAAGTATGAGACGGAGACACGTGACATTTGGACGGTGTCGTAAGTCCAGAAACACTTGATCGTGAGGGCTGAGATCATCATAGGAGGAAACGCCGCAGATGACTGCTTTTATGGCCCGTATCGGCGCAACTCGTTAGCACAAGCTCCGTGACGAAGTTGTGTGAAAGAAAGAGAAAATTTCCTATCGTAGATTTGTTTCGCAAGTTGTAAGTCAACAGTGTTTTTTTAATATACAGGCACGGCACATAATAAATATAAAGGAATAGTAATAATGGAATAGTAAGTAATCGCGTTTCACTCACGACGAAGCACAAACTGTGATCGTCATTTTGAATCTGGCAAAAAGTGTCAGCATTTCGCGATATACATTTGGCACATTGGATGAAAACGGAGTAACTTCGGCAGAAAAAAATGTATTTGGGTTCCTATTATTACCTACGTTCAATCAGATAAACCCTTTTTATCGGAAGAACATTTTTTTCTCGACCAAGTGGCAAACAACCAGAATTGCCACCGTTGCCTCAGCATCCCACATTGAAACCCCCTGACACCGGCAGGCAGAAGACCATATACACCGTGTTGACAGCAGAATTCCAGAAGAGTCTCGACATGAGTCTCGCTTGCCATCGACGCAACCACTGAGCAAAGATGCTACTGAATTGAGATGAATGATGAATGTTGGTAATGATATGAATTTACAAAGTTCCTTTAGATCTTTGCGTAATATGCGTGACTTCACACAAGCTAATGCAACTCTGATCTTGCGTTTTTTGTTGTCCCCATTCCTTACACCCGTCATCTCCGTTTATCCCTAGAGAGATGCGCGGAGACGCAAAGCCCAAGCGCAGCGCTCCCTAAAGAAGCCGTTTTATATGGCGGTGAGTTATCCGCCCGCTTGTTTCTGCAACCGCATCTCCCAGGGTGGTCAGCGCTCCATCTAGCTCCTAGCTCTGTCTCTGCATTCGCGCTCCTCCAGCGCGACCAGCGCTCCACCTAACCCCGTCTCTGCCCCCCCCCCCCCCCCCCCCCCCCACCTCGCATGACGACCAGTGCTTTTTCTAACCCCTTGCTCTTTTACGTGGTTGCCGGCCGGGCCAGCGGCGCTGGGGTTGGCAGCTGGCCGGGCTCAATTACGGCCCCGCCGGCTGCAGGCCGACTGACCAGCGGAAGGCAGGCGTCAGCTGAGCCTGCACCGGAACACTGACGCGGGCCGTGGCGCGTGGGCGCCGCCTCAGCGGCCGGCAGCCGGCACCGCTCACTGCGCCGCAGTGTGTCGTGGAGCCGCGCCGAGCGACCGCAAGGCTGGCCAGGGCCGAAGGCATGAGGAAACTGGCCTGGCGATTCTTATCTGGCAGTGCTCAACGCAGTTACGCCGCGATGTGACGCGGAGATCCCGTCACACATCGGGCATTTGCCTCCTCGGTCTCGGACGCCTTACCGAAAGCAGCGCCCGAAACCGTCAATCATCTAAAGGTTTAACACCTGTGCTTCGAACCACTGCTTAAGCGAAGCTCCAAACCCCCTCGTTACGTAAAGCAAACTTCTCCCCACGCTTTCAAGCGAAGTCGCGCTTTACCGCTGCGGAGCGTAGGTGATCACGCGAGTCGCGACTGGAAAGGAAAACAAGAGCGCCGGCCGCAAACTGAGCGTGCCCGGCCGGCACGCGCGCGCACGACCACGCGGGCGGTGCCGCGCCAAGTCACGCCGGTCCGGCGTCGGTCGGGCGGCCGTGCAGCACGCGGGGGCGGGGCGCTGCACACAGCGGCAGGCGGCGCAGGGCCGAGTAAGGGCAGGGTGGGCGGGACGGAGCAGGACGGCTGGAGCCTGGAGGTCTCAACGCCACCGCTTGTGGCGACTGGGTGGAGGCAGAAGGGCTGAGGAGGCGGTGCATGTATCACGACACCGCCAGCGCCGCCACACACGCCGCGTCCGGCCACCGGCACGACAGACGGCGCATGTTCCTGCCATTCTGTCGTCGACTTAACGAGGTGCGTTAGCGACAGCAGGGGGCCGGGTGTAGCCAAGCGGTCCAGGGGCCGGCCGAGACCGAGCAGGACCCACCTCGATGTCGTCGTCGGGCGAGGCGTCGTCGGGGTGCTCGATGATGCGGGGCGGCGCGTCCCAGGCGGCACCGAGCAGCGACCTCAGCACGCGCCGCCAGCCGCTGCCGCCACCGCCCGGGTCGCCGCCGCCGCGGCCGCCACCGCCCGAGTAGCGCGCGTACAGCCGGCAGCAGACGAGCGTGCCGACGCCGAGCAGGAGCAGCACGCCCGACGTCCGCACTGCAAGCGGGCGGGAGTGGGCGGGTCAGTGACCGACGCACACCTGGACGGCGGGCGTAACCCGCAGCCGCACACGCACACACGCACACATACTCACACCTACAACCGCTCATACCAGGACACCCCCACATCCCCACACGCTGTGTGCACACCCACCCACACTCAATCATGGCCACACCCACACCCACACCCACAACCGCCCACACTCACTCATGCCCAAACCCCACACCCACACCCATACGTCCACTGGTCAGTGCTAATGGACAACGATAGAAAAGGCAGAGAGAAAACACAAGGAAAGGAGCGGAGAAACGTTGACGGACAGTGAAAAGCACCAATGAACAATCAGTGGCGGAACAATAGTCTCGAGCACTAGACATAGATCGATGTTTGGGAAAGTTGCAACACGCAATGGACAACAACGAACCACCCACGGCGCTGCAACCATCGCGTTGATTTCCCCGGCTCTGAATGGGAGTGTTTGCTTGGCTATAGCCGGTGCACCGGAGCGTGTATAAGCATTTGTGCCGTTCTAATCGGTTTTGTTATTAGCTGACATCATCTGCAGCCGCCAGCTGACGTCGCCCGGCATCTGCATCGTGGCGCGGGGCTGCCGCGGCACGCCCAAGTCGCGACGGACAGCGGCGATCCCAGGGCGCCACCTCGGGACGGACCCTCCGACACATCAGCGGCTCGGGTGATTTGTGCAGGGTGGGCCGCAGACCGCGCTGCTCGCGTGCGAGGGCCGTGTTCGCCGCAACGTGAGAGCGGACAACGCGGCGGCAGCCCAGCAGCTGATGGCGGCGAACAGCTGGTGGAGAATGAGCCCGACGCCGGAAACAAGCACGCGAGGCTCAGGGCGAGTGCGGTCGGGACGACGCGGCTCTGCACGTCCGCCGCGGACGAGTTCGTGCCACGCGCGGTCGGGGCAGACGACTCGCGCGGCTCTCACCCGCCGGGCAGTCCTTCAGCTGTCGTTCTCACAAGCTTTCGCGTCCGATGATTACCGAACCGGTGGCTTTCCTCGCAAACGCTTCATGGGAACGTGTCTGTTTTGACACAAGCCGCCTCCTGATTTCTCCGCACGGGTCACACGCCTCCATCATACTCGGCCGGCGCGTGACAGCCATTCTCGGCGACCAGCCGGTCCCAGCTCGGTCCGTGACCTGGGGACGCTGGTGACCCGGCCTCGCCGCCAGGTCCGGCGGCGGCCGGTCGGCGACGGTTGCGGACGGCGACGCCGCCACCCGCCGTCCGGACCGGTTTCATAATCAGCAGGCGGGCACCAGCGGCCCGCCCCCGTCAGCCGAACGAGCGAGCGGTTCGACACGGATCGGGCCGTGCGGCTGGGCGCGGCACCGGCTGACGCCAGGTACGTCGCTGTCAGTTCTGCGCATGCCGTGGTGCGGTCGGAGGGGAGGCACGACGCGCGATTAGAAATGCTGTGAGTAACTTCCTCGGAGCCCCAGGCCCGCTGGCTATACTCAGAACAGTCCCAGACGAACGCCTGGATCGACTCCAGCTTACCATAGATTGCAGGCTAATGGCTTAGGCTGGACTGCGTCAGAGGCGCGGAGCGCCGGGCATGGACTGGTTAGGCGCAGACGTGCACGAAACGGTCGCCAGGCATGGACTGGTTAGGCGCAGACGTGCCCGAAACAGTCGCCAGGCATGGACTGGTTAGGCGCAGACGTGCACAGAACGGTCGCCGGGCATGGACTGGTTAGGCACAGACGTGTACGGAACGGTCGCCGGTTATGAGCTGGTTAGGCGCAGACGTGCACGGAACGGTCGCCGGGTATGGACTGGTTAGGCGCAGACGTGCACGGAATGGTCGCCAGGCATGGACTGGTAAGGCACAGACGTGCACGGAACGGTCGCCGGGTATGGACTGGTTAGGCACAGACGTGCACGGAACGGTCGCCGGGTACGGGCTAGTTAGGCGCAGACGAGCACGGAACAGACGCCAGGCATGGACTGGTTAGGCGCAGACGTGCACGGAACGGTCACCAGGCATGGGCTGGTTACGCGCAGACGCGCACAGAACGGTCACCAGGCATGAACTAGTTAGGCGCAGACGTGCACGGCGCGGTCGTCAGGCACAACATCCATGGGTTTCTGTGCGGGAGTCCAGTTGATTTAGCGCCCTGTCTTCGGTATGTGTTGAAGTCGGCACGCAGTGAACCGCAGTGAAACAAGCCCACGCCCCAACGCCGATGCTACTGCCATCTGGATTTCAGCAGAAGACCTTCATGCTGGGAAGTCATCCGTGAACAGCTCTGCGCATGAATGCTGTTTGGCATGCTTTGAAATATCGAATGCTAATGGAATATTCATGCAGCTGTCTCCATGTATGCCGAGAAAGGCTCGGCGACGGAGCCGTTCCATCATCAACCGTTTTCCTCGCTCGTCCGGTGGCGAGAGCTCTCGAATTGGGAATAGAAGAGGGCATAGCTTGCGTTCGTTTGTCAGCCTGGATTGTCAGGAAGTTACGGACTTCCCCAATACCTCATACAGTCACGGGACAGCCAGCTCATTAGCATTTGCAACGCTAAAAACTGTCCAACGCCTCTCCTATGACCTCATGTCCGCATTCTATGGGTGCCACCGTATCCAAGCGTCGCTGGTCAAATCAGCTACGATACAGTCGAGTATTCTCATACAAGACCCCAATACTTGCCTGATAACGCCGTTTAACCAGTACCTCCTGGTACATCAAATGTCGGTGATCTTTAATGCCAGAACTGAACTTGGCGAAAACCCAACGGCCCAGGGTCTTCCTCGCTCATACCGAGTGTTCGCGAGCAAACGGGCCGTCGCTGCCGGCGCGGCGGCGGCGGCGTCTCCGCGATGGTGTGAGCGGCCCCTCTGCCGATTGGTCCCCACCATCTGGAGCCCATAAACACACGTGGGTTTATGGGGACACGCGGGCGGGGACGCACGGTCCCTGCCGAGCAGTCCACGTTCAGGCTCCGACGGCGCGGCTGGACTCGAGCCGCACCGGCGTTTACGACGACGACGACGACGACTTCGGAGTGTGCGACGGCGCCCTTCCATCCCCTCTCTCACTTTTGCCTTGAAACTCTTTGGCTAATAGAGACTCTTCCCTTTCAACGTCTGTTTTCGAATCAAGTCGATGGTCCTCCGGAAAACTAACGAACTCTTTCGCACGAACACCGAGTGTAATTATAAGGCCAGACTCGCGGGAGGTGATCTCCACATTCGGCGGGGCAGCTCCTGAACGCGCCACCACAGGGTCCACCAGATGGCAGCAGTCCGCAGCGAACCCCACGCAGCGCGTACCGGAGCGGAGGTCTGAGCGCCAGTCGAGACAACAGATGGCAGCACCGGCGTAACGTCGGCCAGATAAGTGGCGTACCGCACGCAGACGAACAGCGATCATACGGCATCAGACAACAGCAAAAGCAATCAGGTTGACCGCATCCCGCAAAGGACAACCAGCCAGTGTGACAACTGCGTAAATGACATTGCAGCCGACAGCGCGCAGTCACGCGCCGGACAAAAGCGGTGCAAAACACAACAGCAGCGCACGTGTGCCTGGGACATGCACCACCTGTTCAGGGCGGGTGCAAGGTGCCCCGTGAGTTGCCGAAAATCAACAGCCGGTGCAGAGAACAGACGAGCATAAACCAAAGACAAGGATAACTACGATACACCTTAACTCAGAGACATGTGAAAATCTATCCCGCAAGGCGTTAGATGCCTGCCCTTTAATCGCATGCTTCCGTAAGTTAACTCGCAGCTGACTCCGTCAATCTAATTCTCGGCCACCAAAACAGACACCAGTAAACCAGCACATCAATGTAAGCGCAGCACTTGCAGCTACTTCCATGCCGAAACATATCAGAAACCCCACGATAAAGGACACCTGCCCGCTTGTCCTGTCTCCGTCCCTGACACGAGCTCCCTGCGGCCTGATCCCCCCGCTGTCGGTCCACCGGGCTGCGCGGTGCCGGCGCGTGCGCGGCAGAGACCAACGCCTCTCCTCGGCAGCCCCGAGCTGCACGGTCCGGCGGACACAGTCGACGCAAGGTCGCGCCACGACCAACAATGGCCCGATGGCCGAGCCCAGCTGACTGGGCTGAGTGACGTCACGCGGAGCCATTGTCGCGGCCGTACTGACCGGGCTCGAGGGTCGTCCAGAGGGTGGCCGTGGAAACAGCAGGGCTCATGGAGAGCGACACTGAGTGCGGGTGACCGGGCTCGAGGGTCGCCGAGAGGGAGGCCGTGGAAACAGCAGGGCTCGTGGAGAGCGACACTGAGTGCGGGTGACCGGGCTCGAGGGTCGCCGAGAGGGAGGCCGTGGAAACAGCAGGGCTCATGGAGAGCAAGGAAAGCAAGACTAGAGTGCGGGTGACCTGGCTGGAGGGTTGCCGGGCAAGACGCTGGGACAAAAGCGAGTGACCGGCTTAGAGGTCTCCGAGAGAGGCTGGGGGAAGAGCAGGGCTCATGGAGAGCGACACTGGAGTATGGGTGACAGGGCCAGAAAGTTTGACGGGAGAAAAGCTAGGAGAAGAGCAGGGCTCATGGAGAGCGAGACTAAAGTGAGGATGACCGGGCTGCCGGGCAGCAAGGCGACAAAGGGAGAACACGAGGACGGAGGACGAACGAAGCTCGTCAAGGCGCTGAGGGATGAACAATTGGGGGAGAGACGGCTGGCTAAACATCAGACGAATGCTGGAGAGCGGAACAATACGATCGAAAATCCAGGACGAGACAGAGCTGCGATGGGCACCGGTCGAAAGTCCACTGACCAAACAATGCCCCCTGCGGGCGCGCCGTGCCAAGCGGGAGCTATCGGCAGAATGAACGAAGCTGCAGCGGCTCAGCCAGACCAACTGCACGGCAACCACTCTGTTGAACGACGGCCGGTCGGTAAACAAGCCCCAGCGCTGTGCCCATCCGAGTCTCGTCACTGGCCGGCCGGGCCAATGCCAGCCAACCGCAGGTCGAGGGCGGAGCGGAAGCGGTGTGTGAAT